GGGGGGGGGGGGGGGAGTATTGGGGGGGGTAAAATCCCACTTATCTTAAAGTTGCTAAAGTTGAGAAACACTGGGTTAGTCTTTGAGCAGAGCTGGTGAAAGGCCCCTGCTTCTCATTTTTCCCCGCTGCAGATTTTCCCAAAATAATTATTGCCTGGTGATAGACCAAGAAAGAGATTAATGGAGCTGTCTTTGTAGTGGGTTGAGGGCCTTGTCCTGCTTCCATCTTCCATCTATAGGAAGATGAAGTTCGCTGAAGGGCCACGCATTAAATTTATGACAGTCCAGCTTGTTTGAGAAGACTGGACATTTGAGGATGCCCTCCTGGCTCTGGAAACAGGATGTGTGCATCTAGAAGGGATGAAAATAAGCATCTATGGGGTGGGGTGGGGGGCATCCTGCTGTTTCTACAAGGGAGTCCACGCCCTGAGCTCTGGTTCTCTTGCAGCTCCCCGTTCTTGCATCATCGACAAAGACGAACTGAAAGATGGCTTAAGAGTTCTCATCCCCATGGACGACAAGCTGCTCTACGCTGGGCACGTCAAGACTGTTCATTCTCCTGACATGTGAGCAAAAGGATGTCTCCGTCCTGGGGTTGGGCCTGGAGAAGAGCATTCAATAATCTTTTCGTTAGAAATAGTGATTTCTTTTTATCTGTGGCTATATCAGCTATAGAGGCTGATTTACGGTTGTGTTTTGGGTCTGTCTATTTCAGATACCGAGTTGTTGTGGAAGGAGAGCGCGGGAACCGCCCTCACATTTACTGCTTGGAACAGCTGCTCCAGGAAGCAGTAAGTGGAGATGGGGCAGAAAAACAACCCCACGCGACTCAAACTTATCTTCCCTAGAGAATAGGGGAATGCCTTAATGCAGAACGTGGCTGAGGTGGTTCTCAGCACCTCTTCTACCCATCCTTGGCAATCATTCCCAGTTCTTCCATTCCCATGGTTCAGCCTCTATGCACGTCTATGTTTTTTTTCAAAATGGTTTGGGATGAGGTGGGGTGAAATCTAAACTCTGCCATTGTGATTCAGACTCCTGGACTTCTTGCAGAGAAATAGTGTGGGAAGTGCTGTGGATAAGATACATTGAATTTCCTGCATTTCTTTCATTGCACATCTCTTGGGGGAGGCTGGAAAAGGAAGATTAAGGTGCACAAGTACAGAGACACACCAAGTAAAATCTGAGATAAAATCCACAGGATGTTTAACTCCTCCCTCCCAAAATGGACACTGCAAGGTCCTAAAAAGACAGGTATTTAAAATGGAAAGATTAGAAATTCAGGGAGAATTTTTTAAAAAATGGTGTTGTAAAGGACCCAGCTAAAGTACAAGGTGAGCTTCTCATAACTGGGTTAATAAAAGTGCTCATCATTGGGACTGTCCAGAATCTCCTAGCCTTGCGTGGAGATCTCAGTTTTGAATCTGAGATCTTCTGCATGCAAGAGTTGTCCTTGCAGTATGTTGCCTGTGATCTCTAGTGATTGGTTCAGCTCTCAAAGGTTTCTGGAAGATGTTTTTAATGTAGGATCTTCTGCATGGAAAGCAGTTGTTCTCCCACTGAGCTATGGACCATTACTGGGTTCTTGTCACCAGAAGCTTTGTGTTATACAGTCTAGCTGAATCAGAGCAGGATATGACCCAAAAGAGGTGGTGGTTCCTGTGAACGGAGAGAGAAAAGGTTCTTGGAAATCTAAGCTAGGTGTCCTAGTGAAGGTACAAAATAGGACAACTCCAGCTCTTGAATCTTCCTTCCCATTCAGATCATTGATGTGAAACCCCCTTCCGTGCGGTTCCTTCCAGAAGGAGCACGAATAGCTGCCTATTGGAGTCAACAGTACCGATGCCTCTATCCAGGGACAGTTGTCCGAGGTAAGGCCGGGCTGCATCAAGCTACTTCTGGAACAGAGAGAAGGTGGAAATGAGGAGTGTTGGGTCATCCACTTTCTAATCCCTGTGGAATTTCTCCATTCTTGAAGAGAGCGGTGACTGGATCCCCTTGGGCATTCAGAAGTCATCTTAGAGTCAAGCCCACTTCCCAGTAACTTCATGGAGCCCACCATGCCTTTTTCTTAGCAACACTATAGAAGTTGGCCTTTGCTTCTTCCAAGATGTTTTTCACCTTTCCAGTCTAACCACTAGGCTGTTGGTCTCCTATCCAAGTATTAACCAGGCCTGGTTTTGCTTAACTTGTGAGCCTAGACACACCAGTTGGTGGTTGCTACTGCTGAAGCATCTTTGGGCATTACTTTAGCCAAATTCTCTGCAGCGTAGGTGGACACAGGCGGCAATCACGGTGGTACCTGCACTAAGAGACTCCCTAAATGCATCAGTCTGTTGGTGATTCCAAAAAGAAGCAGAAGCTCTTAGCCACCTGCTTGTACTCCTTTTGGTCTAATATAGATTGGAAAAAGTAGATTGAAATATGTTTTGTTCTTTTGCTCTCTCCCATAATTCTTGAGCCTGGGAGGAGTAAAACCAATTACATGCACAGACCATAAATTCAGGATGGACAGACCTGTCCTCTTCATGCAGAATGTAATTCCTTGATGGAATTTGCTGCCCCCAGATGTGCTAAGGGCTTAGGTGCCTTAAAGAGATTTGAAAAATTAATAGAAGAGAAGGTGGCTCTCCATCATTAGGGTTCAGCAGATTGCTGGAGACCTCTGGTCAACTATGTGGAAAACAAGAGGTGAGGTTGGGAGGATAATTGGTCTCTCCCAGTTCTTCCTCTTTCCTCCAGTTGTAACTCTTTCCTCTTCGGTCTAAAGGTGTCCATGATCAAGAGGAAGATGGCGATTTGATCACTGTGGAATTTGATGATGGGGACACCGGGCGGATTCCTTTATCTCACATCCGGCTTCTTCCCCCTGATTACAAGATCCAATGTGAGTTTGGTTTTCTGCTGCACCCCTGGAGAAATAGCCTCCTTACGCATCTCAGGATGGGGTGGGCTCCCAAGTTGCTTTTGTGTGTCCTTACAAGCTTCTTCAAGGTCAAGCTGTTGAAGTTTGGTGACCAGCCACAAAATTATGGTTTTCCTCCTGATCTTCTGCAGTAGAAAAATGGTGTGTAAAGCCTTTACTCAGGCTTTAATGCACCTATGAGTATTTTTAAAGGGCCAGATGGGAAAAATGGGGCAAAAAATCCTTCCCTTCTCCTCCAAAGATGTCATCAAATCAATGCCACAACCTCTGCGTTTCCTTCCTTCCTCCCTCCCTCCCTCCCTTCCTTCCTTCCTTCCTTCCTTCCTTTCTGTTGTTGGTTAAGTTGAAGGTCCAGTTTCTGAGAACCCAACAGGATAGAGGTTCACTTCTCATTTCCTTTTTATTTTCCCTTTCCCAGAGTTGATTGACCATACAAAGGACACCTCTATAGTGACACCCTCCTGAGAAGGTGACAGCACATGTCACTGATTCTCTCTAGGCCATCTTCCTTCAATGTGGGTATCCTCCAGAAGTATGGGTCAACTCCCAGAACTCCTTGTAACTGCCACACTGGCTAAGGAAGCCTAGGAGTTGAAGTCCACACATCTGGAGGCTTCAGAGGATGAACAAGGCTGTTCTAGAGTGCCCTATCAAGGCCTGGGAAATTGTAAGTGGGGACTGTGCAGAGACTCATCCTTCCTGTATATGCTGCATGCCAAAGAGATCCTGCTGGGGTGTCCAGGTTGGACCAAGCCTCTGATGACTCTTGGGGTCATGGGAAGTGGGGTGTGTTCAGCACCCGCTCAGACTGGCAATTGACCCTTACAGGTGCTGAACCCTCTCCTGCCCTCCTGGTGCCCAGCACGAGACGCCGCAGCCGTAAATCCAGTAAGGACATGGGAGAAGGAAATGGGATGGAATCCGAGGAGTCGGGAGCCAAAGGCAAAGGGCGTGGAAGGAAGCCAAATAAGAAACAGAAAACAGGTATGACTCTCCCACCTCTGTTGGGGGCGGGGGGAGAAAAAACAGCCTGACTCCAAGCCAAGTCATTAAGTTTTCCTATTTCATTAGAATAATACAATTGCAAATGAGAGATTCTGCAGCTATCAGAGCAGGATTTTCACCTCTGATCTCCCGTCCTCCTAGTTTGGATCTCTTAGCATTTGTCAGATTAAAAACAACAACAACACATCTTGGCTGGATTGAAAAAGGCCCCTACCTGCATCAGAAGACTTGTCATTTAAAACTTTGTCCTTCATTAAAATCCTTCTGAAACCTGCAAGGAGTAGAGATTTCTCCCATGGCTTCCAGTACACAGAGGGCTGTTTCTTCTCTAATGCAACATACTGGCCTTTCCTGAATAATCGCTCTCCAAAGATGTTGGCCTACAATTTACATGGATGGATGGATGGATGGATGGATGGATGGATGGATGGATGGATGGATGGATGGATAATAGACAGACACATAGACACATAGATAGATATAGAGACTACCAGAGTGGGAGGCTATAACAAATTTAAATCATCATCATCTTCATCATCATCCATATCATCTGTGGTACAGGCTGGCTGGGGTGATGGAAATTGTAGTCACCCATACTGGAAGGGACCAGGTGGGAGGCAGGTGCAGTTTAGATCCAGTCTGCTCATGAGTAAAAAGGAGAGCATGCTTTATTTTCTTTCAAGGTTGTGGTAGACGTTTGCGGATCTGGGCGGAGTAAACCAGTTAATTACTTCATTAATACTTTTAAAAGTCATCAGGGCATCTCTCAATCTCTCTGGCTGTCTAAGAATTCAGGATTGTAGGCAAGTAGTCCCCGCAATCTGAAGGATGAAAAGTGCTATTGTGTAATATCGGTATAAAGTTATGCTGGTCTATGACCGTAATAAAGATCTGATGGATTGATCTGTACAAAGCAGAACAAGGTTAAATGTCAAGTTTTCTCCTTCCTCAGTTGGAATTTCAAAATGTGGGGGGAAAGGTAATGAAGTTTATAATAAGTTTGATCCTTATCTAACTTGTTCATTTTTCTAAAGATAAGAACTGAATCAATAGGATTTCTCCCAGCTTTAGAAGCGAGGCATCCTCACTGGGCATAACATCTCTCTTAGGCAGGGGTGTCCGCGAAGTGTGGGTGGGTCAAAGTTTGCAAAAGGGTGAGTGCGGCATCGCAGTCAGTGCCCCAACCCTTTTGTACATGCGTGTCAAAAGGGATGGACCTTCCATTGTGATGCTGTGGCCGCCATTTTGCAAATGTTGACTCCCCTTGGTGGAAATCTCTGGCTTAGTTATTTGTTCAAAATTATTATTATTACACTTTCTGTTGCTTTCTAGAAGAAACCGTCCTGGCAGATCAGACCATCCAGGGGGCAAACTCTCCTCTTGTACCAGAACTGCCGGTTTGCAAGCAAACTGCCAAAAACTCCAAGAAGGTCCAGCCGATCCCTTCCAGGACACCTCCAGCTCCAGTAGAAGAAAAACATCACAGCAAAGGGGGCAAGGGAAAGATTTCTGCCAAGCTCCACAGCCCGGTCCCTGCCCCCTTCCAGGCGCCAGTGTTTGGCAACGTTCGTGGGAATGAACCCTACGCTGGAGCTTTTGGTCCTTCCAGTAGCTCCTCAGGGAAAGTGAAATCAAAAAAAGGAAAATCCACGGAGGAGGCACAAGAAATTGGGTCCACTCCCAAAGCTCAGAGGAAGATCCCAGACAGTGAGATCCTGATCAAGCTAGACCACGAGGGGGTCATGTCTCCCAAAACCAAGAAGACCAAAGAGGCAATGAGGATGCTGGGGGAGTCAAACCTGGCCAGTAGGAGAGAAGCCAAGAACATCTTGGGACTCAGCTACAGTTCCATTGCCTGCCCGAACCCTAAGCAGAAATCTTCCCGAAGCAAGGTTGTGGAGGGAGAGCCTCCTACGCCTAATTTTGGGGGCAAGTTTGATAACTCTGCGGATCCTCCACCTTCTTCCAAGGCTCAAGAAGACAGTGGTGAACTGGCCCCTGCAAGGGATGAGTCAGAAAGTAACACTAGTGGCAGCAGTTCAGATTCTGAAGGAGAAGAAGAAACAGAGAAGAATGGAGGTGGAGCTCAAGATAGTAGCTCGGCCAGTTCAAGGGCATCCACCCCAATGTCCTCCTCAAACTCCTCCTCCTCTTCTTCCTCCAGCAGTACTAGCTCCTCCTCTTCCTCTTCCTCTTCTTCCTCCTCCTCGTCCTCCTCCACCTCCTCCTCCAGCTCCAGCTCTTCCTCCTCTTCCTCCTCCTCGTCCTCCTCCACAACAGACGAAGACTCTTCCTGCAGCTCCGAAGATGAGGCAGCTGAGACCCAACCCAGTGCCTCTTCCACTCAGCCAGCCATCCCACCCAAGCCAGCCAAGGCATCAGGGAAGTCTCGATCATCTTCACATTCCCGAAATCCGAAGGAACCGCAGCAGCAGGTAGTGCAGAAGCAGCAACAGAGTGGGAACAAGAACCGGTGCAAGAAGAGGGAAGGAATCCACTTGCCCACAACGAAGGAACTAGCCAAACGCCAGAGGCTGCCCTCAGTGGAGAACCGCCCCAAGATTGCAGCCTTTCTACCTGCACGGCAGCTCTGGAAGTGGTTTGGGAACCCCACCCAGGTAAGAAGGCCACTCTGGATTGTCCTTCGCTATGCTTTCTTAGGGTGAGGTGGGTCATTTTATTTCAGCCATTGCTCACACTGGCTGCATTGTCTGGGAATTGCCAGCCTAGCACATCTGGAAGGCACTGGGTGGGGACCCAAGCATTTAACCTTAAGGAACAGGAAGCTTCTGAACATCTGTTTAGTCCAGGAACAAGTAGATCTTGAAATCAGCTGGACCATTGGAAGTCACTGAATTTTCCCCATGGATGGTGGTGGTGGTGGTGGGTTTCCCTTTCATTCCCATACAATCTCTACAGCCAATCTACCGATTTGAGTGTGCACTCTTATAAACCAGAAGTGCACAACCTTTGGAGGGCTCTGAACAGCATGCTGTAGTCCCAGAATTAAAACAGAGCTATATTTACATGTTGAGCATGAAACCGAGCAAACTCAGGGAGGCAGTGAAGGACAGGAAGGCCTGGCGCAATATGGTTCATGGGGTCACGAAGAGTCAGACACGACTTAACGACTAAACAACAACAACAAATATTTACATGTAAATGGAATTAATGAAGTGCAACAAATATGGTTATTTCACATACCTTTAACAATTTTCTCCTTCCATCCTATTAAAAATTACAGTGGATGCAACTTCGGTGAAGGTTGTCTTCTGGACTATGCCAGGACTTTTAAGAGTTGCAATCATTATGCTTCCCTACTGTAAGCCAGGTTTAGAAACCACAGGGGCTAGTTTCACACATTGTGTTGAATCTCCACCAAACAGAGGATGTGATGACCTAGCACAGTGTTTCTCAACCTTAGCAACTTTAAGAAGGACGGACTTCAACTCCCAGAATTCCCCAGCATGCTGGCTGGGGAATTCTGGGAATTGAAGTTCACCCATCTTAAAGTTGCTAAGGTTCAGAAACATTGGCCTAGTGTGATCTCTAAGATCAACCAGCATAAAAAGAAAAGTCTGCTCACATTAAGCCATCATTCATTAAAGCTGCAGTTTGTTTCTAGGCAGTTGGACAGGTTTATGCAAAGCCCATAAATGTTGGTTTACCATGGCAGTGGCAGAGTTCACCCAGTGAGCTAAGCCACAGGCCATCCAGTCCAAGTTTAACTGAACGTGGAAGGTCAAGATGTGAAGGAACCCTGAGATTTCATTTGTTGTTGTTGTTCGGTCGTTAAGTCATGTCCGAGTCTTTGTGACCCCATGAACCACATTGCGCCAGGCCTTCCTGTCCTTCCCTGCCTCCCTGAGTTTGCTCAGTTTCATGCTCATT